GCCCCAAACCTGGCAAAGTAACTTACACTACAATAAGACACTTCGACTGTGCGATAGATAATAACGGATACGGTGCTAAAACGGTCTCTGCTCTACTGGATTTGCCTCCACTAGTTCTACACGTGAGAGAGAAGACCACTCTGGCATCCTTGCGTCTGAAAAATAAGGGGTTGTTGAATGGCAGAGGTACTGAGTGATTGTCTATGCTAGAGGGGCGATCGGACTCACTCATCCCTCAATTCATACTGGGGAAAAACTACCACATCTATCTTGATGAGGATGTGGCATCTCAACCAGACATATTCATCTTCACGGATGGATCTAAAACAATGGAAGAAAGAGACAAAGAACTAAACTTCCATATCAGACAACCACTAGGCAAACTTCCTACTGTATTCCAATCAGAGTCGGTGGGACTAACGCTCAGTGCAAGAAAAGTTCTTATGCACCACATAAAGAACAATACTGTCAATCCTCCAGTGGCCACTTGGCCACTGTAAAATTACATCTAGATTGGTTTCCGAATATCACCACGCACTAAAGCAAGTAGGAAGCAGCAGCTCTTGAGTTCGCATGGGTCAAAGGGCATGCCGAAATGGAAGGTAATGAGAAGCCTTCAGAGGACCATCTGGTAGCCTGGCGCGTTTTTGCACAGGGTTAGCAAGAACGAACCTGAAGTTACTCGTGGTCATACTTTTTGGGCACTATAAACGAACACATGCACCGCATGGGTTTGGTCAGCATCTTGTAGAGGACGTTACACAGACGCTAAAACGCCACAACTCAAATTTTATGAAGTCCCGCTGTAGCCCAACTGAAACGATCCATGTTGGAAGTATCCTGACCGGACGTGGCTACGATGATTAGAGCCGCCTTCCCTTCCAGCATCCTTAAGTTCATCTCACCTGTGGGATGGTTTCAGTGACGTCGAGGGGTTGGACGACGACGGGAGGTAGTACAAAATTGCGGCCTAGGTTCGCCTCCTATCGTAATGCAAAATCCAGACCCTTCTAGATGATTTAGAGGGTACTGTGAGACCTAAATATCCTCCAAATACTATTTTCAGATGCATGAGAAATGTTTTATGACCATTGTGGATGTTTGAGAGTATTCTTTAAAGAAACTGAGGAGACAGTCACTATAAGGTTTTAAAATAGACCCTCTGCGCTACTTCAGAGACTATCAATAGACATTTTGGAGATCTCCTTTGCTGGAAGATGTATCTTTCAAATCTTCCGTAAAACTATTCTTCACACAATTTTTGGATTTCTAAGAGATTCTTTAGATAGATTGAGGGACACCTTAAGGATACTTTCGAGATAAACCTTCTGGATGTGTCTAGATATCTTTTTCTGAAATAATTCCTGGAGGATTTTTATATTCATGAACGATTTTACGGAAAACTTAGTTTCCTAGTAAGTCGAGTTGTCAATTCATTCATAAATTCTTGGTACATTGTCTAAAATGCTTTATTTGTGTATTTTCATATGCCGTTCTATTAATTTTGCCTCTTCAGAGGGTTTTTAAAAAATGGACTTAGCAGCGGTTCAAGTTATCTTCGAAATCTTTTTAATTTCTTTAGTTTTTAGAATATTTTTTATAGATCTTTCAGAATTCGTTCAAAGATTATTAAAAGTTCCTCTGAAAATTTGGCGGCACTTTTAAGAGATTCTTCAGGATTTCTGCAAGGAATCTTTGACACTTCCGAGACGCTAATTCAATCTTGACCGTAAGTGTTTACAGGTTCTTCTGCTACTTATCAAATTTTTGAAAATCAAAGACATTTTTTGAAGAATCTTTGATTAGATTTGAAAAACCTCTGAAGTATCTGCACGAACTTCTTAATAGGCGCTTCACAAGAATCGAAGAGAATGCTGTAAATAATCCTTAAACTTTCTTTCAAAAATTATTAAGCCCATAAATTTATGGTGGAGACTATCAGTTATTCAAGACCGATCAAGTTCAAGGTGAGGACCAATGTGCCTATCAACCAGGAAAATCCTGTGAACTTGCTATCCACAGAGTAGTGGATGTATCTGGAATGGCGGCGATCTTCTGGAAGGAGGTAGCTCTAGGGGCATTTTTAGATATAGAGCGGGCGTTTCACAATACCACTTTTCTAGAATCGATTAAAACTGCTATGGAACGAAAGGAGGTAAATTCTACCGTGTGTAGATGGAAATCCCAAACGGTGAATTAGAAACGTCCATCTTAAAGCTAAATAGGATAAAGATAAAACTTGCGACATGGGCGAGATGGTCACAGATCACTATCGTTTGAACAAACACCTGCACAAAATGGAACTGACTGACAGCCCGTTATGCAGAGGTTGTGGCGGGAAAGAAAAAACTCTACACCACGTCATTTGCCAATGTGAAGCATACACTAAAGCAAAGGAACGCTTATTTTGAAATGAAAAAATTACACAAGAGGAAGTAGCAAGTCTTCAGCCTATCAAAATCCTGGAAACAGGTTGAAAGGTAGACAATACCGGGGAGCATATTAGACCAAAAGGTCGGAGTGCAGAAACCGACTGGGACCATCCCTAGTACAAAGGTAAAGGTAAAGCTTGAGCTTACAAATCGAAGAAACCTGACACTTGAAGTTGGAAGCTTGTTTTGTAAATACTAAAACTGGTTGATAGAAGCTTGAAGTGAAAAGCGTTTCAAGATGGAAGTTAAGCCCTTGAAACTTTAAACTTACGACCAGGGTTAAAAGCGCATTGAAATTTAAAACCGCAAGCTTTAATCTTCGATGCTTGCAATTTAAAAAAGTTTTTCAAAGGGTAATTCCACCATTTGTTTCTCGTCGCCATATTGATTTCAGAGCTTGTTTGGAATTATGGCATTGCTATTCCAACGTACCTTTTTGTCCGTTTTGAACATTTGGTGTTAGTTGAAGCCCCCCTTTAGTCAACGCACAATATACAGGGTGTTTTTTTGGGAGTACTAGTACTACCGGAAGTAGATAGTGCAATAGTAAGAAAATGGTCATTCCATTAAAAAAAAACTGAGTTTCTAGTGTTTGAAGTTTCATAACTTTGGATCTTTGTTTTTCATTTTCTTTTGTTTGATTTTTGTTTTGTTATTGGTTTCGGTAGTTTAAGTACCTACTGTTATCAATATTACTAGACATATTTTTGTATTTTTGATTTATTTTTAACTCTATTGTACTCTGGCAAGTTGTAAAATGTTATTTTTGCTCTGAAATGGGAAAGGTTATGTCTTTCTGTTGAGCAAATAAAGGATTATTATTATTATTATATCATCCATAGGTGCGGTTGTCCGCAACTTAACTTTTTTTAAGTACACTAAAAGAAAGCCATATTCATTCTCTATGCACTGATAAAAAAGGGTTGCCATGACTACAACCGATTTCAAGTAATCAATGATCAAAGTACCATCTGCATCCACCATTTTTTTTCTTAAAGTCAAAATAACTTAAAAAACCATAAATGGCAGATATCAACATGTGGGTATTAAAAGAACTGAAATTTCACGTAGAATCCAAAAATACAATAGAGGCTGCCATTTAAAATAACGAAGTTACTAGCCACTTTCGGTATTTCCGGAAGTGCAGCAATTTTGAAAATATTTCACATCGATTGGGCCTTCAGAGTAACTCCTACAAATTTTTAAAAACCTACCTATTTTACTTTCCCGGAAACGTTTAACTAAAGCTCACAAAAACACCCTGTATACAGAGTGTAGCACCCCTCGGATCATAAAAGATACCGAAAAAAGTCACAGAGCAAAATTATACACATTTACCCGTCGCCATATTTCTAAAATATTTTTGATCGCCAGGGGCGTGCTGTATTCCAGTGGCGTATCAAACTTGCGTTTTTTTAAATGGAATATCTCATATTTTATTACTGATTTGGAAGGTACTTGAAAAAAACTTATTTTTTTTATTTTGAACCTCCATTGTTTCATCATGGCACATTTAGATTCGGAAAATGAGGTTTTTTGTATAAATTGGTGTTTCGACTTGGTTATTCTCTGAAATGTTCTTACGGAATGTTTTCTTTGTATCAGTGGAAAATTAGTCGTTTTGGCTACCCAGAGATATAATTTGTTTAGGGGGTGGCCATTTGAAATTTTTGAAAAAATATTATGACATTTTGCGAAGGTCAATCAAAAATTTAAGTGACTAAAAAAATTATTTGACTGTGGAAGAGGTCTTGACCTGTAGCTGAGTTCAAAACTTAGCCGCCTGCGCGATTTAGTGTCTCTAAATAAGTTTCGAAAAACTGTCAAATTGTGGCGAAAAAAGATTATAACAGCAAACTCGTTAAAGTTAGGGGTATAATATGTTATATAAAAAAATTCAAGTGCATTCTAAATCAGTAATAAAATATGCGATGTTCCATTAAAAAAAATGCAAGTTTGATATGTCATTGGAATACAGCACGCCACTGGTATTCAAAAATGTTTTAGAAACATGTCGGCGGTGATTGCGTACAATTTCGCTCTCAGTAAAGGAATTATGATCCGAGGGGTCTTAGATGCTACACCCTGTATGCGTGGGCGCACTATACGATTGCTCTATTATATTAACCGATGGTCGTAGGTGTTGGAGTAGGTTGCAATGTTTTTCCCATTTAATACACATTCATAATCAGGGTGGAAGAACGAAAAACAAGTTCTAAATCAGCATATGCCCGATGAAAGCGCATTGTTGGTAATACAGATCAGTATTTTATTAGCAGTTTTAAATTATTGATCTTGATCTAACTCGGAATAGATTAGAGCCTCTACACTATAGCAGAAAGTTTTTAGTGAAAATTTGAGGTTCCTAGCTATTGTAATTGCTGAGATGTCAGCCGGACAGCCAGCCAGCCGTAACGTATTTTTTTCAAAAATGCACTAAAAATTGTCAAATAAATGTGCGAATGCGCAGACACATACCAAGAGTAACTACAACAATCTGAGCACAGGCACACCACAATTTAGGAACAATAAAATAACCTAACACACCTTTTTTAAGTTAAAAAATAATTTTCTCAATGTATGTTTATTTTTCGATTAATGGAAGAATTCCACACTACTCGCAAAGGTACAAGTACGTGTTATACTTTTTACCATTTTCGCAGGCATACATAAAGGGATACAGCGGTCCTTTTGGGTGCGTTTGACAAATGTAGTATATCGAAGGGTTGTAATCCATCACGCCGTTTTGCCCCACATGTTCACACGCGCTGATCGGCTCCCTGTTGCACGTGCCGTTCCTGAGCGATATGTCGCAGAAGGTCGTTCTCGGGTTGTACGCGTAGCCACAGTTACATGAATCGCTGAAGAGTTCTATGGGGCTTTTATTCCACTCGTCCTTCCCATGGCGAGCGCAATGATGGTACCTGTTGCAATCGAACGGATCGGGATACATTCCCGTTGTGCGACACATGAATGTAGCGTCCCCAACGTCTGGAATTGCAGAAGAGTCTGGCGTGGTGGTCCATTCGCTGTCCCAGTATTTAGCACCATTCAAGCCAAGATTTGTTCTAAGTACATTGATTTTAGAATCATCGGCGCTTTGCGCATTGGCAATTAGCTGCAAATATTCGAATTGAATAACACATCTACAGGCAATAAGAATGAAATACTCACAATAGAAAAAAGTATGGATGCTAAGATGTTCATCTTTGTTATTCTCAGACTGAGCAATCACAACTATAGTGACTCTATGGTAATAACACGAAACTTTATATACCTACATCCTCGCCCATATAATTCCAAATTTATCTAAGTAGGTACTCTAATCGGGCCTTGTCATTAAGGCGATAACATGATATGCGATCTTGAATGATACCAATTTTCCTCATACCTCCTGATTGGCTCGATACCATGTGACACACCTCGGTTTTATATCTTTGAGCAGATTTCTGCTTGTCACGAATCTAATTTTGCTTATGTTAAAAACACTAGGGAGGCGTAGTAGTAGACAAATAATTAAAATGGACGAAGTAATGTGCTATTTTTTCCGTACCGTACACATCTTTTTTGAATTCTCCGAAGAGCTTCCCAAGACTTTCTGAAGTCCTCAGCCAAGAATCTCTAAGTAATGGTGTTTTTTTTATTTACAATAGTGTCGGCTTAAAATTCCTTGTTGGGGAAGATGGGCCTCGATGACAACCCAGATCAACTTAAAAATATACATGATCCTGACTAACACAAAGTAATGTTTTACTTAAGCGACATTCTTTTTTTGGAGGTACACGTCCACTCTAGTAAATGATAAGGTTACCCACCTACTTACTCTGTCATCATGATTATTTTGTTTTGCAAACTATTATCATAAATCCTGCAAATATGCAAATCTCTGTGACAAACACTTGTCCAGTATTATGGTGCTAAATTCACCTAATTTTGTTTTTGGTACGTTAGTGGTTAATTGCCCACTAATTCTCTTAGTCCATAAACAAATCCTGTCATAGCATGACGTTGTGGAATGTGTCCATAATTTGGGCACTCCAATGTATTACGTGTATATAAGTTCAACTTCCAACGTTCAAAATGCCGAGAGTGTGGAAATCCACTGACGCAAACATCACAATAACACTCTCGTTATCGTACTCATTGAGACGTTTGTTTTTCTCTTTGTGAGTATCCACTTCCCGCACCCGGTCTCTAGACATATGAGAAAAACTTTGACCAAGTGCATTAGCAGATACAGGTTGATGGAAAACAATCCTTTCCTCGAAACCCTCCCACTGCTAGTCACAGAATTTGGCACACAAAAAGAAAGGTTCTTGAAAGTGTCGCTGGTTGATGGCCGATCAAGGTCTTGGTGATAGAATCTCACAGCTTTCACTATCCAGTTATTTTTGTGGTGGTGCTGGTTCAGTATTCTTCCAAAATCAAAAATACCTACTGATTTGATGCTACATGAGAATGATTTCAATTTTGTACAGGGTGTTTTTTAACTAATGGTCAATTTTAATAACCTGATACCTTAAAAAGTTGTCTTTTAAATGAAACACTTTTTGTACTTTCAAGTGTCAAAATAAATTCTACATAGATAAACTATCACATTCCCTATACCCATCTGCTATGCTTTCTATTTTATTTTCAATTTTCTAAAATTGTGACCGTTATGCATAAAATAGATGACATAATAAACATGTAATAATAACAAACGACAAAATAGTAAACAAATATCAATTGAGGTTTTTTCAGTACATCACAGGATCTTGCGATGAACCCCGTTGGTAATTGCCTCTCGGCATCCGTTTCATCAAAAGCTCCCTAATTTCCAGTTCTTCACGAGAAGCAACTGGTGTGAAGTAAGCTTTGTATTTACATATATGAGGCGCTTTCTTTCGGCTACTTCGCGATCATGATTTCAAAATCATGATTCGTAGGATCACGTTTTACGAAAGAACGCGCGAATTTAAATCAAAATACGGTTAGGTACATATTTGCACTCGAATTACGTATTTTTTGATTGGATTATGAAAATAACTTAAATACAAGCGGAAGCACTTGCACGATTCTGCTCCTCTTCAGTTATAAATATTGACTAACTTAACAATTGAGCAAAAATGTCGTTGCATTTATAGGTTAGGAATTCAGGATCATAAAACTTTAATGTTCAGTTTGTTCACGATTTTAGCAATCATGATTATAAGATCACACTTCGAAAGAACGTGATTTGACAATCCAAACGCGTTTGGATCACCGAAAGAAAGCGCCTAGGTATGACCCCACCCATAAACGCCAAGTGACGTTAAATCTGGAGATCTAGGAGGCCAACGGCACGGATCTCAGGTCCCAGTCCATTTTCAAAACTGTGCGTCAGAGACATCATGGGTAGAATGAGCCGGCGCTCCGTCATGTTGAAACCCAAGTAATATCTCCAAGAAGGCACAATCTACTCACAAGGCCTCCTAAGAAAATTATGCAGCACAGTCACAACTTAAAAAAATCTAAAATAAAACGGAAAGCATAACAGATAGGAATAGGGAATGTAATAATTGATCGATGTAGAATTTGTTTCGACATTTGAAAGAAAAATCAACTTTTTACTGTTTGAATTTATTTTATTTTATTTTTTTTTTTTATTTTGGACTTTATTTTTAAGCGGGTTTCAGTCAAGAGCTGCTATACTAACCCAACCCGCTATACATTTACAAATGTCTATGCCCGAACCCAGATTCGAACCAGGAACCCCTGGTGGCGTAGTCCGACTTTCACGCCACTACACCACATACGCTGTCAAATTATTAAAATTGACCATTACTTTTAAAATACACTGTATGTAAACAAGTATAAATTGTGCACAACTCTTGTGCAGATAAAGCGAAATTTTTTTAACCGAAATAACTTTTGTTTTGACATCACCAATGGATATATTTCTTGCAGACGTCTCAATCGCCCTTTGTGAGTACCCTCTTCCGACAATCCGTTCTTGAGGTATAAAGGAATATAGCCGATTACGATAAGAGGTCGAGGAGGAGGGCTATGGTTGGTAGAAATTAATTCCGTTCGTTGAGACTTTTCATTAGAGTACCATGAAGGATAAAACTAGTTCCACTCCTCCCCCCCCACCCCTTCCCCTCGTACTTTGATAAGAGGACAGGAAGAAGGGCAGTAGTTGGTAGAAAACGGTTCCTTTCGTTGAAAACCTTTAATTAGAATACAATGAGAGATAAAATTAATTCTTAAGGTGTGCCAGACGGCCATCAAATTTCGCTGTGCCCCCCCCCCCCCACGAATTATTCCCTGAGATGTTGTTTTTGCAAGTAAAACGTGCATAACTTTTACATACGACAACCAATTGGTCTCAGATTTTGCATACGCATGCCTTTAGTGGTGTTAAGTTAAGCTTTACATGGCTTAAATGGGGGGGGGGGGGGGTAAACACATGTTCTACCCTTCATGGTATTCTAATGAAAGATCTCATCGAAATAAAGTGGTTTGTACAAACTATATCTTTCCCGTGCGACTCTTTTTCGAGATCAGTGAGCGACGGGTCCTGAGTATGTGTGTGGGGAGGGGGGGGGGTTATTTTATCTCTCATTGTATTCTAATTAAAGCTCTCAACGAAAGGACCAGTTTTCTACAAACTACTGCCCTTCTTTCTGTCCTCTTATCAAAGTACGGGGTGAAGGGGGAAGGGGGGGGGGAGTGAAACTAGTCTGGTACTCTAATGAAAGGTCTCAACGAAAGGAATTAATTTATACTAACCATAGTCTTCCTCCTCGATCTCTTGTCGTGATCGGTTATAATTCCTTATATCTTAAGAATGAATTGTCAAAGGAAAGTACCTACATAGGGCGATTGGGACGTTTGGAAGAAATATAACCATTGGGCATTTAAATGAAATTTGATACATCGCCACTTGGAATAAAAGAAAATTTAACACCAGTTTCAAAATTTGGTTTTGGGCATGCGCAGTGCCAACTTTCTTATTTATGAAAGAAATTTCGTAGGGGTGTTTACAAAAAAATGCGCTTTACCTGCACAAGGGTTGTGCACAATTTGTACTTGTTTTAATTCTTAAAAAATTCGCTAATAAGCGATCAAAATCTAAACCACCCTCATCTAGCAGTAGGTCAGTACCCCGTTGATTTTGGAAAACTGTTTGAAATTCAATTCAACGGAGTCGTAGGCACAGGGCCCAAAAGACAGCAGTTAAACGTGAAAAATTTGGAAAAATCTTGAATAACTTGATGCTGGGTATAGAAAAATCTGGTAAAAACGACATAGATTTCAAAAATGCAAAAAAATACAGGGTGTTGAAAATAAGAAACTTGCTATCGACATCCAATAAAACCGGGGAAGTGAAACGATCATGATAATATTTTGTTTCAATAGATCATGAAAAACTATGCTACTATGCAAATTTTTCGATTTAATTTATCAATGAAACACAGAATACCTTTAGGTAACGGTTTGCGTGAAATAGCCTGTATAAGCAGTATCTTTTTCATTAATTCAGGAGAAAGTTCATAAGAAAAAGGAAGGAGGAGAGATCATAACTAGCATTGGTTCCCGGGATATTATGTGAAGTAAATTTTCTTCCAGGGCGTTTAAAAATAGTTATTTGTTTCATTAGTACAAAAAATGTCATTTTTTGTACGGATAAAACATAACATTTTTTCTCCAACCCCCTTTACTTCAAATTATATTCGAATTTAGATTCAGTCACAGTTTCACTACTATAGTATAAGAACTTCTGCTTTCTTGTCCTCACGTGTCATACCACTCTAGTTTTTAGGTTAACTTATAACCTATTCGTTCTTACTTCTTACTTCTCACCTCTCGCGACTTTGTAGGGAGCAAATCTTGAGGTAGCATGTTCTGCCGTTTCTATAATCTCTGGCGGAGTGCAATCCATGTCGCTATCAGTTTCAGTCATTTTATTGTATACACAATAATATTGTTATATTTTGTATTGAAATAAAAAACTTACCATACAGTTTTTTAATTAAAATTAATTGCAATTAACTTTTTCAAATTTTGAATTCAAAATGACAGATAATAGTGCAATGGGTCTGAAGTAGATGGCGTTACGCGCGACGGCGGGTTGTCTACGGAATATGTAAATTACGTTACACATGGTTTAAATAAAAATAGCGAGCGTAAATCATTTTCAATACATGTACATACGTATAGGTAACATCATTATTTGCATTGAATATGCAAAAATATTTGATTTGTATGTATAGAAATATCTTACAACCTGCAATGTAAAACGATGTCAATGTGACATATCTCCGTGATTGTAATTTTTTAATTGGCCAACTTTCAAGGTCAATTTCTTT